TCCCTGCTTCGTTCCCTCCTTCCTCCTCTTCTCTGTCCCGTTCCCTCTTTCCTCCTCTCCTCCCTGTTTCGTTCCCTCCATCCTCCTCTTCTCTGTCCCGTTCCCACCTTCCTCCTCTCCTCTGCCCCATTCCCTCCTTCCTCCTCTCCTCCCTGCTTCATTCCCTCCATCCTCCTCTTCTCTGTCCCGTTCCCTCCATCCTCCTCTTCTCTTTCCCGTTCCCTAATTCCTCCTCTTCTCTGTCCCGTTCCCTCCTTCCTTCTTCATTTCCTTCGTTCTCTCCTTCCCTGTCTGTTGCGTCCCCTCCCTCCGTCCCTCTTTCTGTCTCATTCCTTGCATCCGTCCGTCTGGCTTCTGCTTCCAACCCTCTTTTCCAGCCTCTCGCTCTCCCCAGCTCGCTCCCTCCATCCTTCCCTTTCCCTCCGTCCAGCCCCTGTTTTCTTCCCTCCATCTCTCTCCCCTCCCCCACCCCGCTCCCTTTGTGTCGCTGATAAGAAATACAAGGCCCAGGCTAATTACCCGCCTGCCGCTGGCTCCTTAATGAGGTGATTTGCATCCACAAGACTCCCCTCCCCTCCCCTCGCCCCAGAGCGGAGCAATGAAATACAGAGTGAGATGGGGGGGCGGGATGGGGGGGGGAAAGGGGGTTGAATGATGGCAGATAGAGGGGGCTGCGGCAAGGGATGGGTAGGAATGAATATCTGCCTATGGCCTCCCCTCCCCTCCGCATCCGTCCATCCTCATCCACCCTCCTGTCCGTCCGCCCACCCCCTGCACCCATCCACCCACCGTCCCCACCCACCCACCCTCCTATCTATCCATCCATCCATCTATCCACCCACCGCTCCCTCCACCCCTCCATCCATCCACCCACCTGTCCCCATCGACCCATCCATCCATCTTTCTCCATCCACCCCCTGCACCCAACCACCCCCCGCACCTACCCATCCATCCATCCCCATACACCCCCTCCATCCATCCATCCCCATACTTATCTATCTATCTATCTATCAAGGAGGTGGAGGTGCATTTTGCAGCTCTTGGGCCCGGTTTCCCCTGAGCCAACTGGTCTCAGGGCTCTCATGCCCTGGCGATTCTGTCTCTCAACGTGAGCCCACCAAGTGCCCCCAGTGGTTCTCAGCCCCTTCCCTGTGTCCTGCCCCCTGCCAGTGGCTCCCAGCCTGTGTCCAGCTCCATTTGCAATGGAAATTCCTCCTCCAGCCTGGGTGACTCTTATTTGCAATTTAAACACCCTCCCCCCTCCCCGCCAGTCCCTCCCCAACCGGTACCCCAATCCTCCAGCCAGTGCCCCATTGAGGGGACAGGCCCCATGTCCCATTCTCAGCGTCTCCCCCCCCCCCCCCGAACCAGCCAGTCCCCAGCCCTGGGGCCGGATAGGAGCCGGTGCCCCCTACAGGGGATGGGTGGAGCGGAGTCCTGGGGCCCTGGTAGCCGGTGTGGGGGGATGCAGTACTAGCCACTGCCCCTAGGGGGCTCTGCTCACCCTTCTTCATTCCATGCGGCTAATGGTCCCAGCCGGAGCCAGGTCATGGCTGAGTGGATGGGGAAGGGGACGGGGGTAGGGGGCTCCCAAGCACTCCATTTTTCTCATCCTCCCTCTCTCACTCTGTTCTTCCCCCCTCCCCCCGCAGGGTCTCGGCTCCTGCGCTGAGATGACCCCTCCACGCGCCTCCTGCCTCCACCGCCATGGACGCTCCCTCTAACTCTGCCTCCTCCTCCTCCTCCTCTGCCCCCCCGGTCGACGGGCAGGATGCCAGGGCTGCGGGCTGGCCACCTCAGGACCCCTCCGCCCCTCCAGCCACCAAAGAACCCTCCCTGCCGGACCCCCCCTCCGCCTCCCCTTCCCCTGCTGAGACCATGAGGCCCAGCCCCGTCCCCCAGCCGGAACCAGGTCCCGCCAATCTCCCAGCGGCCATCTTGTCCGCCCCACAACTCCAGGCAGGCTTCGGCCTAGTAGCACCAAGCCCGTCCCTCCTCCATCCCTCCGCCCCCAGGGAAGATGCCAAGGAGGAGGAGGAAGAAGAAGGCAATGATGATGATGAAGAGGATGCGGAAGATGGTGGCAGCACAGCCCATCTGCTCTTCTTCCCTGATGGCTCAGCCTATCTCCTCAGCGGCGGCCATGTTCTCTTACCAAAGGGCTACCCTGGCGCCACGGCAACCCTGCCGGTGTCCACCCTCCACGTCCAAGATGGCGGCCCCAACCAAGGCTTTACGTCTACTGACCAAATGTCCCAGAATACCTCAGCGCCGGGCGAGCAGCCCCCATCCGGCGCCTTCCGCAGCTACCGACTAGCCAGGGCCTCTGCTCCCACCACCTCTGCCAAAAACTCTCCCACCGAACCCAAAGATGCCGTCACCGACGGGGAGGGGGAAGCCAAAGTTGGCCAAGAGGAAGAGCCATCATGGCCACCGTGGCTGTGCTTGGCCTGCCGTCTCTCCTTCCGACAGAGCCGCTCCTTGGCATCCCACGCCCTCTCAGCCCATGGGGTGCGGCTCAGCCCCGGGGAGCGCCGGGCCCTGTCCCAAGGAGTCCCCGCCATGCTCCAGGGCACTGCCCTCAGCTTCCTAGAACCAAATAACCCCACCAGCGGGGTGGACCTCAGCACCGGAATGTGTAGTGGATGGGTGAATGTAATGAAGGAGGAGGAGGAGGAGGAGAGAAGCCCCCAAGAAGGACGCAAGCCACCCGATGCCAAAGATTCAAGGGCCGGCGGCGTGGACTGGGCCAACGGGGGAGAGGAGGAGGAGCAACAGGAGGAGAAGGCTGAAGGCAGGAAGGAAGAAGAGGATGGGCTGAGGCTTCTGCCGGACCAAAGCTCACATGGCCAAAGCCCACCCAGAGACACCAATGTCCCGGATGACCCACCGCCAGGGAAGGCCAACACCGAGCTCAACAACGAGTCCAACAGTGAGTCCAATGTTGGGTTGGCCAACAGCGGGGTCAACCCCAACACTGGAGGGGTCCCTCTTGGCTTTGGGGATGATTACACGGCCATGGCCTATCCTGGGCTCAGTCTCTCTGGCCACATGTCCCTGCTGCATTCCCGCAACTCCTGCAAAACCCTCAAGTGCCCCAAATGCAACTGGCACTACAAGTACCAGCAGACCCTGGATGTCCACATGAAGGAGAAGCATCCTGAGAGCAACAGCCACTGCGCCTACTGCAGTGCCGGAGGCCCCCACCCGCGCCTGGCCCGGGGTGAGAGCTACAACTGTGGCTATAAGCCGTACCGCTGTGAGGCTTGCAACTACTCCACCACCACCAAGGGGAACCTCAGCATCCACATGCAGTCGGACAAGCATCTAGCCAACCTTCAGGGTTTCCAGGCCAACACGAGCGGCGGGGCCCAGCCAGTGCCCCCAGCCACCCCCACAGCCCCGACCCCGGTGGCCCCTGAGGAGAAAGAGACCAAAAGCAAGACATCCTGGCAGTGCAAAGTCTGCAGCTATGAGACCAGCATCTCCCGCAACCTTCGCATCCACATGACATCGGAAAAGCACATGCAGAATGTGCTTCTCCTCCACCAAGGGCTGCCATTGGCCTTGCCCGGGCTCCTGGGACAGCCGGGGGGCAGCAGTGGGGGGAAACAGCAGCCACAGACCGAGCTCTTCCAGTTCTATGGGGTGCAGGCTCTGGGTCACCACCACGGCCACCACCATGCAGGAGCCACCGGCGCCGTCCCGGGACTGCGGGTGGAGAAGCCCATGGAACCAGCACAGCTGCTGCTCAATGGCTTCCACCCACTGGGTCCCGCTGGGAGGAAGGGGGCGGTTTCAGCACCAGGTAAGGGGCTGCGGCCCTTTGCCTCACACCATGTCTTCACATCTTCCACTGCCACCACCATCACCGCCAGTGACCTTCTGCCCACACTGTGCCCCCCATTCCCCACAGTAGTTAATTTTGGGTGAGTTGGCCAACAGTGGGGTCAATGTTGGGTTGGCCAACAACTGAGTCGACATTGGGTTGGCCAACAATGGGGTCCAACTTCAGGATGGCCATCAATAGGGGGATTCCTGTTCACATGCTCCCATGTCTCTCCGTCCTCCCCATGTCTCCCCATGTCCACCCCACCAGTGAGCTCCATGCCCCCTTCCGAACCCTACTCCCACCTCTGAGAGCCCCATCCCCTCCCTCCTGCTCCATTCCACCATTCCCGTTCCTCCTTCCATGGGGAAGGACACTGATAACCTGGAGGGGGCTGGAAAGGCTGGGATCCCTCAAGAGAGTTTGTGGGGGCAGTAGGGAAAATGTCTTTTCAGGTCAATATTAACAGATTTCATCCATTCTCTTCTATCTTCTCTACATTTCACTTTCTCTTTCTTTTCATTCCTTCCTTCCACTTTCATTTTTTATTCATTCCTGTTTTTTCTTTTGTTCTTTCCTTTTCTCTCTCATTCATTCATTGTTTCTTATCCATTCTCTTTCTTATACATTCATTTGTTCTTTCATTCCTCCTTTCTTGCTCACACACATTCATTCTTTCTCTCTTTCCTCTCTATTCATTCTTTCAATTGTTTCCCCTTTCTGGCTGTCTTTCTTGCTCATTTCTTCCTGTTTCATTTGTTCATTCTTTTTGTCTTCTCTCTCCCTCGTTTGTTCATTCTTTCCTTCTCTCTTTTATTCATTCTCTCTTGTTCATTTTCTTTCAATTACTTATTCATTCTTTATTCCTTTCTTTCGCATTCATTCTTCCCTTTCCTATCATTATTTCTTCCTTTTACTCGTTCCTTTGCCTCTCATTCATTCTTCCTTTTCCTCTTTCTCTTTTCCCTTGTCTTGTTCTCTCTCTGCCCCACCGCCAGTGGCTCCGGTGCCGCTTTCCCCATCCCCATGTCCTCCGCCCCCACTGGCCCCTGCCTCCCCGCCACTGGCTGCGCTGGTGGCATCGGAGCGGCTCTTCGGCTGCCTGGTGTGCCAGCGCTTCGGCACGGACAGTGTGGAGGAGCTACTTCGCCACTCCACCGCTCCGCGCCGGCTGCCCGAGGCTGAGTGGAAGGAGGTGGCGGGGGATCTCCACCGCTGCCGGCTCTGCGCCTACGGCACCCAGCTCAAGGCCAACTTCCAGCTGCACCTCAAGACCGACAAGCACGCCCACAAGTACCAGCTGGCCGCCCACCTGCGCGAGGGGGGCGGGGCCTTGCCCACCGCCACCCCCGCAGGGGCTGAGCTGCAGCCTGGCCCCGCCCCCGCCCCGCCCCCCCTCCACCTGCGCTGCAATCTCTGCGACTACGAGACCAACAGCAAGGAGAAGATGCGGCTGCACGTGCGGGGGGCGGGGCACGAGGAGGGCGAGCGAAGCTACAAGGTGAGGGGGCGGGGCTATGGGGAAGGGTGGGGCTTCAAGGTAAGGATGAGGCAGGCCTGTGGGAGGGGGCGGGGCTAGAGGGGATGGGAGGGGACAAGAGGAGGGCAAGCCAAGATACAAGGTGAGCAGAGGAGGGCGGGGCTACAGCAGAAGGGGTGGGGCATGAGGTGTGTGACTGGGCTATGAGAGGGCGCAGCTGCCATGCATTGCAGGCGGGGAATGAAAGGTGAGGGCATGGCAACCAGGCATGGGGGTGAGGCAACCAACAGAGGGGGGACCCATCGATTCGGGGGGGGGGAAGGGAAGCCAGGAGGGGAGCGCCGGGGGGAGGGATATACACGGGGAGGGGGCAGGGTTGGGGAGGGGCTCCCCCCAACACCTCTGATCTCTCTCTCCCCACCCCAGTTCCTGCTGGAGTTGGAGGCGTCGGCACTGGGTCCCGACCCCCCCCACTTCCACTGCCTCCTCTGCAACACCACCGCTCCTTCCTGCCTCGCCATGTTGTGCCACCTGCGGGCCCCCCGGCACCGTGACGCCCACGGCCAGCACCGCCTCCACCTGCTGCAGGGCGGGCGACCCACAGACGAGGGCACCATGGCCCTGGAGAGATGCATCCGCCTGGCTGAGCCCGTGCCACGGAGCACCGGTACCCAGGGGCTATGGGTCAGGAGTGAGCTGGGAAAGGGGGGAGCCCAGGGCTGGCAGCGCATGGGGTTGTGGGTCGGGAGTGAGGCATGCCGTCACGGCCGCTGTTCCCCACCCCCCTTGGTGTTTAATTCTCATGCCGCCCTGGGACACATTCAAGCGCGAAGCGGCTGCGGAGAAACTCTCCCCTCCTAATGGATTATGACAGACACCGGGACTCGTTGCCTAGCAACCAGCAGGGAGAACGAAGGAACAGGAAAAAATGAGCAAGAGAAAGAGAGAAATTATCTCTCTGTGTAACTGACAGCCCCTGTGAGGTTCCCAGAATCTGCCCCTCCTTCCCGCCCCCCTGAACCTGGGGGGTTGCAGGGAGTGAAGGGCATTGGTAGAGCTGGTCTGAGGGGGAGCCCAGGGCTGGGCCAGCAGGGGTTGCGGGTCGGGAGTGAGGGGCACTAGCAGGGCTGGGGGG